GCTTGGATACAGTTCTGAGCGGGTGCACTTGAACGGGTGTGCTTACCAGTTGTGGGCTTGGATACAGTGGGCTTGGATACAGTTCTGAGCGGTTGAACGGGTGTGCTTACCAGTTGGTGGGCTTGGATACAGTTGCACTGAGCGGGATACAAGCTACTTGAACGGGTTGGTGGGCTCTAGCGGTTGCACTTGAACGGGGTGTGCTTACGTTTCTGAGCGGGTGCACTTGAACGGGTGTGCTTACCAGTTGGTGGGCTTGGATACAGTTCTGAGCGGGTGCACTTGAACGGGTGTGCTTACGAGTTGGTTGGCTTGGATACAGTTCTGAGCGGGTCAGCGGGTGCACTTCAACGGGTGCGCTTACCAGTTGGTGGGCTTGGATACAGTTCTGCGCGGGTGCACTTGAACGGGTGTGCTTACCAGTTGGTGGGCTTGGATACAGTTCTGAGCGGGTGCGCTTGAACGGGTGTGCTTACCAGTTGGTGGGCTTGGATACAGTTCTGAGCGGGTGCACTTGAACGGGTGTGCTTACAGTTGGTGGGCTTGGATACAGTTCTGAGCGGGTGCACTTGAACGGGTGTGCTTACCAGTTGGTGGGCTTGGATACAGTTCTGAGCGGGTGCACTTGAACGGGTGTGCTTACCAGTTGGTGGGCTTGGATACAGTTCTGAGCGGGTGCACTTCAACGGGTGTGCTTACCAGTTGGTGGGCTTGGATACAGTTCTGAGCGGGTGCACTTGAACGGGTGTGCTTACCAGTTGGTGGGCTTGGATACAGTTCTGAGCGGGTGCACTTGAACGGGTGTGCTTACCAGTTGGTGGGCTTGGATACAGTTCTGAGCGGGTGCACTTCAACGGGTGTGCTTACCAGTTGGTGGGCTTGGATACAGTTCTGAGCGGGTGCATTTCAACGGGTGCGCTTACCAGTTGGTAGCGGGTGCACTTGAAGGCTTTTGCAAAAAGAACGGCCAGGGGGGGTTTGCCCGTGATTTTCAAGTCGCGCGCGCAATGTTTGTAAAAATGATGCCCGACGTGCGACTAATAACATCCTGCTGACATGAAGATGCGAAACAAAAGCGCAGTCATTATCTGCGAAGACATGCAAATGCCCAGTGATATGTGTAATACTTGCTGCGTTTTACAGCACGTCGCGCACCCATCTGCCGCGGTATGTGCCAAGGCATCGTGTGTCACAAGGCTGCCAATGCACTGATGACAAGACAACGAACGCAGGTATAATTTCGACTCTGCCGACAGCCAAACGTCCTGGTAAAAATGGGACGAAGTGGAAGTCACATGTCCGACGTGCTGCGTTTTACAGTATGTTGCGCTGCTGAAATCCCGGGCAAACCCCCCCGTTGAGCCAACAACAACAACAACAACAACAACAACAACAACAACAACAACAACAACAACAACAACAACAACAACAACAACAACAACAACAACAACAACAACAACAACAACAACAACAACAACAACAACAACAACAACAACAACAACAACAACAACAACAACAACAACAACAACAACAACAACAACAACAACAACAACAACAACAACAACAACAACAACAACAACAACAACAACAACAACAACAACAACAACAACAACAACAACAACAAAATGCCAGCGCCATCTAACATTTCCCTCCAAATCCATTCGACAAGAACAACCCATTAACACACGCAGACTCCACCCATCCCCTCCCCACCCGCCAGCCCTCCACCCCACATCAGCCCCGACCCCGGCCTCCCCCTTTGTTCGGCCGAGGCCCCAGCAGAGGCTTCTGCCAGATTTGTAGCCACCACCACTTTGCGACTGCCCCGACTCGCCGACAAAAAGGCCTCGAAGCGACGCCAACGCACCGACGCGGTGACCCCCTCAAACCCCCAGCCCAAACCTCCCCTCCCAAACCCCCCCAAACCCCAAATCAGTGCCCTCCAAACGAATGGTTTGGAGCCGGAGCCCGGTGGTTTTTCGTGGTTGAGGAGGGGATGCCCCGTTGGGCCCTCAAGAACCAGGGCTTCAAATCCAGATCCACCAATCCAAACTATGAACTGGGGGTCACCTGAATCAGGTGCCCCCTGATTGACCGAGCCTTGACACCCACAGCCGGATGGAGAAAAAGTACACAGGTCTCGCAGAAAGACCTGTAAAGCCAATGGGCCAATGAATCCACCATCGGATCTGGATCTGGCCACTAGCATCTCAAATCCTGCCATCCAGGAATCTCACAGCACCAGCTAAACCCGCATGCAGCAAATGGCTGCAGTGAGACAGTCTTGATGGTTGCCGTGTTTCTTCAAATGGCATGGCTTTAGACTCCTCCACGCAACTGTGCAAAAGCGCGTACTTCAGCTCGACCTTCAAGAGTCACTGTGACCCACTCCCACTTGCCCATGTGGAGTATCATTGCTTGCGGCCGTGAGCCAAACCCGCCTCGAAAGCATCTCCTGAACCCCCGCTCCAAAAGCCCCAGCTTTGCGCTCGCCCACCCGGCGCAGACCCCAGCGACCCCAGTCGAGCCCACCTTCAGCTGCTGCTCCTTTGGCAGCGTGCCGTGCAACGGCACCTGAGGCTCGTGGCTTTCCGCTTGCTTCAGACCTCCCAGTTTCGGGGGTCCAAATTGGGGGAGCTGCAAAATAGGGGGTGGTTTTCTCACCAAGAAGGGTACTCTCAAAAAGGGTATTGCGAACTTCTTTCTCTTGAACCTTTGATTTCCCTTTAGATACCCAAAAAGGACTTGCCCAAATGGTCTTTGGCCACGTTTTCAGCCTTTGAAGAAGTGACACTGTGACGTGACCTTTCTGTTTGTAGAAGAGGATGGGGTTGGGAAACAGCACTAACTATTCAGTAGTGTTTTGTTGATTTTCGCTCAGTGACTGTTGGTTGAGTAAGTAGCTGCAACATGATGAACTCAGTCTTCCTGGCCACATATGCAGCAGAACATGCCTGGTTGGCCAAGCTAGTTGCCTGCAAACCGACAGAACAGAACTCACATCGTGTCATCCAAGCGCCCAATAGAGAACAAAAACTGGATGGACTGCAAATGAAGCCAAGAAGTGCAAACCCGCACTTCAAGCCACGCACATAAGGCACCAACATCATCTCCCCATGTTCGATCACGGAATTATGCAAACTGAGACAAGCTCAGCCCCTGAACATGGCAAGTAAACAAAGGATTCCTCCGGTCACTTGTTATTGCCTGCGGGATTCGCCAATCCACAGCCACCTCCCAAAAATTAATTTCCAACAGAAACATGGCCAAAAAGAAGAAGAACCTCCAAAACAAACAAACAAACAAACAAAAAACAAACAAACAAACAAACAAACAAACAAACAAACAAACAAGCAAGCAAGCAAGCAAGCAAAACATGCAAACAAAACAAACAAACAAACAAACAAACAAACAAACAAACAAAGAAAGACACACGCCCCCAAACAAATGAGAAAAAACAACAAGAACCTGAGAGTTTAGGCTAAACCCCTTGGATTGGTGGTTTGGTTTTGGGCTCGTGAACTTCACTTTCTTTTGAACCGCCCCCCTCCAAAAAACAAAAAGAAAAGAAGAAGAAGAAGAAGAAGAAAGACATGAACCCCCCCCCCCTCTCCCCCAAAAAAAAGAACACGCGCAACCGCCCCCCCAACAAAAAAGAGGCCGCCGAGGAGCCACCTGAAGCGGCTTTGGCTTCAGGCCCGGCCGAGGCCCGGCCATCTCTCGCGCCTGGGGCCAACAAAAAGCCTGCGGTCTCGCGCGTGGCGGGTGGGGCGCCCTGGGGGGGGGGGGTCCCTAGGTGTAAATATTATGTGTATATATATACATACATACATACATATTTACATATACTCTACTTCAATATACACAATGTGTATATATATATATATATATGTATCAGGGTCTGTCTTTTTTTGAGGGCACCCTTTTTGGGGGTGGCTTGAATGAAACAACAACAAAAAATCAGATTTTGAAGGGATCCCCTAAAGAAAGACAAACCCATATATATATATATATTTATATATATATATGTATGTATATATATATATATATATATATTTAGGGGGGTGACCATACATATATATATATATATATATATATATATGTATATGCAGGCATGCTTGCTGTGGATGGACGACATCCAATTCGCACCACACAAAGAAACCCTGGCATGTGTTGATTCCCCTGTACTGTGATTTACCTCATCCGCACTGTGTTCCCACTTGAACAAGCAGCACCCGACTCACATGCGAGGCAAACGGTGCCAAGTGCCAACTTGATGCCCCGCACCTGCCGATGCCGCTCAATGATGAGATGGCAGGCCGTGTCAATCTCCTAGCAGAAGGAACTCCCTGGAAGGCAGCGACATGTTGCGAGCCGACTGATTGGCATCGATTGTTTCGTTTGTGGATGAGGCGTGCAAAGTAAGTACATGGCCGATATCAAACAGCCCCACCACCCACCCGGCGTTGGGGGTGATGTGCTAGACTGATTTGCCGACGTTCGGTCTCTGTCATGAAGACCAGTCCGTTGGGCGCCATTTTGGTGGGGCTCACGTGCAACAGACCAGGGGGGCGTATGGTGTTGGCGCATCGGCGCAACTACCATACTGATGGACAAAATCCTGCAGAAATCTGGAGTTAGCACCCCTTTCTAGTGGGTTTAAAGGGACATTCAAGAGAGAAAACCGTTGCGCCGTTGGGGGGGGGTCCAGCCTGTAAAAAGACGAACCACCCAAATGAAGCAAAACGATTTGAATGGGAGAAACCATCCTGTGAAATGGCGGCATCCGAGGCACGCCAACATGTCCTCACGTCCTATCGAGATGGAACAAAAAAGTAACCCAACTTTATGCTTGAACCACTAAAATGTTCCAAACTCCCAAAACAAGAAGTCCATGGTCAACACACAATCGATCCTTCAGCCTCCAGACTTTCGCAACTTCCTTTGGCAGCATCCAACACATGCAAAGAGCCAAGCGCCACAAAGACCACCTGCCGCAGCCAACCGACCTCCACTCCAATCTCCGCAGTGTACTTCCATTTGCTTAAGCCCCCGGGAAAAAATGAAAATATGTCCAGTAGTGATAAACTCCTTTTAAAACCAACAGGGGAGAATAAAAAAAGATAATCTTCTTTTCAGCAAATGGAAGAATAAGGGTCTGTCACCAGCCACCGGGTTGGTTTGCCCCCCCGACCCCACCACCTGCCGCAACCAACCGAGCTCCACCCAAATCTCCGCAGCTTCGGGCCTGGCACTCCCAAGCGCCAAAAAGGGTCGCTTCCCCGCCCCCCCCCCGCCCGACCCCCCAGGCGTCCTCTCGGCCGGTCAGGAACACCAAAACGTCGCCCTCCGGCTGACTGCGATGAATGCTCATGACCTTTCAGCGCGCGTCTGGTCTCAATGGGAGCGGTGAAGATTGTAAGATAAACCGAGGGAAAACCAACTTGTTTGTGGCTCAAAATTGTAGGGCTAGGGCAAACCGGGTGTTAGTCTTTGGTTCCATTTACCTTTTCGTGCCATGTTGGTACATTTGTTTGAGCTAAAACCAACTTGCTTGTCTTTGTCCCGTTACCCGCACCCGCGCCAGTGATGCGCGTCAACAAGAGGAACCCAATAATTTGCGGGCTCAGATTTTGATTTGACTGGTAACACCCGAAAGATGCCGAGCTCATGGTATTTATGCTTTCCCGGCCAGTGCTGATTGTGCTTGAATGCCAAGCTCGTAGTTGCAGCTCGGCACATGGTTGGCCGAAATTTGCAAGCAGGGAACGAGGAAACACCGTGCTGACCACTACGACATAGGTGTCCTTTCAGGAAAATAGATGGGTGTCCCTGGCAAATGGATGGCATCAAACCAATCTGAACCAGTGGGACCAAGCTAAAAGGACACCTACTGTGGATGGTTGCGAAATCCATTTCGCACCGCCTAAGAAACCCTGACATGATTCTCCACTGTATGCTCTACGATGGTGCGTGGTCAGTCGAACTAGGGGAATCCACGGCATGAAATCCAGTTCTGAGCGCCGGCGCCACATTCACGGCGGTCTCCAGGTAGTCGCCAGAGGGCTCATTCAGGTAATGCACCTCTCTTGGCGTTTTTTCCTCATCCGCCCCCTGCCTTTGGGATGTTTGGCCTGTGGGTGAGGTACTGCTTTCCTGATGTCAGGTGAGTGCGGCTCGTGTCCTCCCCTCGTTTCTTCGGTCGACGACAGCGAATGCTCACAGATGCTCCGAGGAACTGGCGCAGCCTGCAAACAACATCAGGGCTACGGCTTCTGCAAAAACAAGGCTGGTGCGAAGGACCAAGCCTGACTTTGCCCTGGAGAAAGGACCATGGCATCGCAAACATGTGGCTGAGCACACTGGCCACATCCTGCACCCATTGTAGCTCCCGCCTACCAACCAGCTTATAAGCTGCTTTTGCCAAAATCCTCCTGTTGCAACTTCACCAAAAGCTGCAGAGATTAGTCCACATCGGGAATGGATGAGATGCAAATGCATGTGACTTTGGCGTCTCGTTCCTTGATTCCAGCCCCCTGTCAAAAACCCCAGGCCTTCACGTCGTGCAGCCTCCCTGGTGCCGACGAGTCGCATGCCGGGCACAAAAAACAACAAACTGCCAACATGGGCGCCGGTCATTTCTCAGCTGCCCTTTTCGGGGTAATAAGAACCCCGGATGCATGAGCCCCTTAGTGGGGATTCAGACCACTTTTGGGGAGAACACCGGGTATCGAAGTACCGACCGAGGACTTGACAGACCCGCAAACACCTGAGTATGCGTATTCCTTCCGCCGAAAAACAAACAAAAAAGAAACACCCGCAAAAAAAAAGGGGGGGGGGGGAAAAAGAGAGGTCCAAGGCCCTGCGAAAGCCCACGCCTTCCACCTCCAGCAGGCAGGCGTCCCGCTCCGGCACGCCCCCGCGCCCGCCGCCCGACAAGTCCACGCAGAGCCTGGCGAAAGCGCCGGCTCCGAAGGGGTGGTGTGAAGGGAACAACGTCTCCTCTTTCTTGGGATCCACGATTTGTTGAACACAAGTTTACTTGGTTGCAACTTGTCAGCTCCTTACTTGGTGGATTGAAACCAAAGGAGAACTCGCCTCTTTCTCGGGAACCCGATGCGAACACATGTTTACTTGGTTGCAACCTACTTGTCAGCTTCCCTCTGCTCGGCGGTTTGCAGCCCGGCGGTTTGGGGGGTTGGTTGGGGACTGCAAGACAAACAAATGGGAGGGCTGCAGCTAGACCCCAGATTCTGCAGTGAAGCAACTCCGGTCAGGAAGCACGATGACACTACGACGAAAGACTATGCTCTGTACAGAAGCACAAACGGCGCCCTAAGGCACCGTCCCAACACAAAGCTTCTTGACCAGCACCCACCGGCACTCCAACCAAGCAAGCACCGCCAGCCGCCACCCTGAGCACACCAAACAGCACCCTGACCAGCGCCTTGAACAGCACCCACAGCCGCACCCCGACCAGCACCCGCAGCAGCACCAAGACCAGCATCAAACAACACTTTGGCCACCACCCAAACCGCACTGCACCAGCACCGCAAACTGCATGCCCCGTAGCACCATCTCGCAAACATGCCTTAGTAGCACCTCCAACAGCACCCCCACTCAGCACTCACCCCAGCACCCTGCCTGCCATCAATCTTGCAAATGCCTCAAACGGCACACGAAACAGCACAAGCAGTATCTGCACCAGCACCCCGAACCGTCACCAGTGCCTCAAACCGCACCCCAACTAAAACAGCACCTGCGCCAGCAACTATCTCGCAAAAATGCCTCAGTAGCAGCACCCTGCCTGCCGTCAATCTTGCAAATGCCTCAAACAGCACCAAACAGCACGCCAAAGCAGCACCCTGGACCAGCCCTGCACCAGCGCCCCAAACTGCATGCCCCGTAGCACCCTATCTTGCAAAAATGCCTCAGCATCACCTCTAACAGCACCCCCAAACAGCACCCGCCTCAGCACCTTGCCCGCGTCAAGCTTGCAAATGCCTCGAACAGCTTCCCAAAGCTGCACCAGCACTCCTATATAAGAGCACGACCTGCAAGTTTCGATCTGCGAGTAGCCAAGAGCTTTCAAGCCAAAAAACACAACTGCAAACCTGAAACATTTTGATTTTTATAAGACTTGGTGTTGGGTTCGTATGAAAAGCTGTCACCTGCGTTTAGTGTTTATAACAACCCAAAGGATGGCACCCTGTTCAACACGAACGAGGCGCCTGCGCCAGTCGACTTCTTCTCCCCTGCGCTGCAAGGTCTCCCCGGTCTCGTCGTCCCAGCCCCGCAAGCGAGGACGCTTGGGCGGAGGTGCTGGCGGTCAAGGCAATTGTTTGGGTTCACTTAACGTTGACAAGGAAGTGCCTGACGCAGTCAGCCTTGCGCGTGGTAACGCTGGCAATTCCCCCCTGTTGGCTGTGACTTCATAATACACTTGCTCATCCAGCCCCCCCTCCCCCCCCCTCCCCCGATTTTTCTCCCGCCATTTGAAGCCCGCCTCTCCAACCTAGAGAGGATAGGGGCAAACCTGATAACAGATTCTCCAATTTTGTCCAGCAAGCTAACAGAACACAATGAGGGAAACCTCTCACAAAATACTTGCACATTCCGGGAAAAACCCAAAATTGCTGCCAGTATTTGCAAGATTTTGCACTTATTCCATGAAAAAACTAAGTTTGCTTCCAGGAAACGCATCTGTGCCCATTTTTGCAATATTCAGCATTTTGCATTCCATTTTTCACTTGCCAGCGTTTACCGGCACAGGCTTGGCGCTGGCACTGCTGGGTGGGCTGGTGTTGCGTGGGCTTGGGCGCTAAGTTTTTGGGGCGCCGTGTGTGCGTTTGTTTTTGCTTTGTGGGGCTTGTGGGATTGTGCTCTTGGGAGCGGGCGTGGCCGGTGAGGCAGCTTTTCTCTGGGTTCCCTTTGGGTTTTCTCGCTGTGCTGCACGCTTATGTTCGAGCTTCATTTTGTGCGCCGTGAGCGTTTTTTGTGGGGCGCCTCGCCTTTCGAGGGATTGTGCTGGCGCGGTTGGCGACGCGCGGGCTGTAGCACCAAACTGCAGCACCTGCAAAACTGCCCCCCAAGCATCCGTGCAAAACTGCGCCCCAGCATGGTTTTTGGCACCCAGCCGTCAATCTGCGGTCAACGAGTTGAGACTTGACGCCATCTGACATGTGTGGCTTGCATCAGCACGCTCTCCACAAGGCTTGGAAGCTCAGGGGGCTGCGCTCAACGCTGCACGCTGCAAGAGGCTGCGCCGGAAGTTTTGGCCAGCTGCAATTGTGCCCTGCCGGACGGCTGGCTCATCAACCGACTGGTCCTCGAGAGGCTTAAGAGATTCTTGACGGGGAGCTGCACTCATCCAATTTGCCCTCCCAGGGATGCAGTCGAGGTTTGTGCTGTAGGGCTCAGCAACAGCTGGGGCATCTGCAGCATTTGCGTGAGGACACTCCATGGGTAAGATCTTCAAGAAGCCTTTCTCCAAGCCCATCTCAAAGGGCGATTGCAGGTTTAGTCATCTTTGCCTTGAGGTACCTCCGTGCCATTGGCGCGCAGGGTCAAAGCATTTGTCATGTCTGACTGAATTTTTCTGGCAATGAAACGCTGCTTTGACCGATGCGCCATCCTTCGGGTTTCTTGCTGAATCCGCGTGTGGCCACATCATCTTGACGCGGGCCAACATGGCTTTCTGCCGGCTCAGGAGCACTTTGGGCTTAGCCTACTCCGTTGCGGAGGATTTGGCTACTCTAACTCTTGGGTCAACATGGCTGCCGAGATAAGTTGAGGGGGCCAAGCCCTGACATGCTAAACATCCGGCGGAAGTGCAGCGAAAAGCTTTGCTACTCCAACATAGCAGACACACACACACACTAGAAATGACAATCTAATCTTACAAAAGCGCGCCCACACCGTCACCAGCACTCCAACAGCACCCACGCGAGCGCCCCAAAATAGCACCTGCACAGGCCCCCAAGCTGCATGCCCGCTTGCCCACACCGTCACCAGCACCTCCAAATAACAGCACCTGCGCCAGCGCCCCAAAACAGCACCTGCGCCCTGCACCACCCCAAACTGCGGGCTTGTCCCCGCATCGTCAACGGCACCTTCATCAGCGCCCCAGAACAGCGCCTGCGCCATCACCCCAAACTACATGCCCCCTGGCGCCCGGCTTGTCAATCTTGCAAAAATGCACCCAACAGTACCTGCGCCTGCACCCCAAACTGCATGCGCCCTAGCACCCGGCTGTCAATCTCGCAAAATGCGCCTACACCCCCGAACCATCACCAGCACCTCCAACAGCACCTGCACCAACGCCCCAAAGGAGCGCCTGCGCCAGCACCCAAAACTGCTGCCACACTGGCGCCAGGCCATCAAGCTCGCAAATCACTCTCCCCTTTTTATCAGAAGTTGGAACCCTTCTAGCTTTCAGCTACCCGGGAAAGACAGTTTAGCTTCAAAAAACCATGTCTGCCTTGGGTCTAGGTACTTTCAGGAACATGTTGCTTGCTGTCTGGCTCAAGCCACCCCATGCAAAAGGTTAATCGCCGACGTGTCACGCCCTCAACAAATTTGCTCAGGCAGGACTGAACTGCTACAGCCCCAAACAACGCGCTTACAAGTAGCACACTGCATACTGCAGTTTTCTCCCCACGAATGGTGACAAGCGTTCTTTGCCACGCGCTTTCCTTCTATTCATTTCCTGATCGCCAACTTTGCCACCGCCAAGCGACACTCCAAGACTTCAACCAGGATTCGGCAAACTTCGAAGCCGTCAGGCTGTCGAGCTGTCGGTGTCCAGAACCACTTAGACTTGACGTTGACGTTAGGGTAAAGATCTATATAAAGTTCAGCAGTTAAGTGGTTGGATTTCAACCACTCAACCACAATAAGCAAAAATGTGAAATGTTTCCCAACAACAACCATGTGTTGTTGTGGTTTTGAAGGGAAGCCGAAAGCAAAACTGCATGTAGAAAGCGGGTGGCACTGCCGTCAAGACTATGATTTACCCTCTTCCGAACCCCCGGCACATCTCCGGTCAGCCGGCCTGCGCCAGTCCGCGACTTCTGCTGCAGGAAGTTCCTCGCTCGAGTTGATGGATTCGCAAAACCATCCGAGGCCGGAAGATCGCGCCATGGTTTTCAGGAAACCATGGGAATGAAACCTGAAGGCTTGTTGAGAATCGACGTCATTTGTTGGGATTTGCAGGGGGAGCGACTCATTCCCAAATCTCTGAACGGGTGTTCTTCGAGGCTATCCCATTTATGGTCTTCCTTTTTGTTTTGACGGACTCATATGGTGCCATGCTGCGTTTCTGTTTCTAGCCAACATTGCCCGCTCCCTGATCGAACCAAAGCGGAGTGTTTCTTTCTTTGGTTCCCAGCCGCCCGGTTCTGGCTTTCAAGGGAAGCCACCCCAGAAATCATACCGAGCCCCAAAGGGAGCGGTTTTTTTGTCCAACTAGGAGCATATATATTTTTTGGTGGGCAAACCGGGACACCGAAACACCTGGGTCCCCAGCCATCCGGTTCCGTAGGTTTCTTAGTGGCTCTAGTGGGGGTCTCCGCATAAGCCAGGCTAAAAACCCTTGGCAGGGGATCAACTTGGAGGCGAGTCTTGTAGACACACACACCAAAAAAAGAAAGAAGAGGTACTCCCAATGGTTTTTCCCTGTGCGAACGGATTTCGACAGTATGTCACCGATTTGTTTTTGGTTGCTTTCAGCTTTTGGGCCCAGGCCGCGCACTGAAGTGACATGCATCTATGTGGGGTGTGCCCTAAAACAAAGGGACCTGCTTTCGGGCGGAAAGGAAACCATGGTGCTCCCTTTCTCTGCTCAAACTGGACTTTTCTTTTTGAGAAGGGTCTTTCAGTTTGGCGTGCGGGCCTTTTCACTTGAGCCAGTCAATACTGGTATGTAGTGTGTTGCCCCAATTTGCATTTGGTGAGTAAACTCCACTTAAGGTGAAAATGCCACACACCGCACACAGGGGTGTCTTTTTGAAAAGCGGCCACTAAAATGATGGCTTTTGTACATTGATTCGCAGAGTGATATAGGGCAGTGTTGTGATTGATGGTATGATATCACCTAGGCGTTCAAGCCCCATGTGTCAAACCTTGCATTTGCCACCATGTTTTTCGCGAGGCTACCCTTTCTGGGTTGGCTTGAAACGGGGAAACCAAAAGGCAAACCACCACAAGTGTCAAACCCTTTCCTGTCTCCGAGAAAACTGTGGATGGACGAAATCCTTCACCTAAACCTGAAATAATAGCTTCCGCTGCAGACAGCAAACGATATGGTCCTCAACAAACGTTATGGTGTCAACCATAGTTTCAAAGTGGTACGATTTCGTCCAGCCACAGTATCACCATGAACTCAAACAGGTTTCGATTTCAACCATCCACACAGGCGAGGGAGCTTGCGTCAAGTCGCAGGAAGGCTCCGGCGTCCAGCGTGGCGGAGGACACGATGAGCCGCAGCCGGGGCCGCTTCCGGGCGATCTTCTTCAACCTGAGAAGCTATGAATGTCAGTGTTAAAAAAATGGGTTTCAAGAGGGTTTCAAGAGGGTTTCAAGAGGGTTTCAAGAGGGTTTCAAGAGGGTTTCAAGAGGGTTTCAAGAGGGTTTCAAGAGGGTTTCAGTGGGGTTCTTTGGTGGGTTTCAAGTGGGTTTCAGTGGGTTTGAGGAAAAGGCTTTTAGAGGGTGGACGAAATCTCCATGCTCGATACTGTGGATGGTTGCGAAATCCGCTTCTCGTACCACGAAATGAAACCATGGCTTAAACCATAACGCTTGTTAAGGTACTTACATTGGAGCAGCATTCGCAACCATCCACAGCAGGTATGAATTTCAGTGCGGGTTCTTTAGAGGGTTTTAGTTGGTTTCAGTGTGGTTTCAGTGGTTTGAGTTCTTCTTTAAGAGGCCTCGGAAGGTAGAAGAGTGGGTTATAGTAGGTTTCAGAGCTGGGTTGTCAGATGCTGCTAGTGGGTTTAGTGGCTTATTGGTGGGTGATTGGTGGGTTCAAGAGGCTAAGCCCAACCATCAGGTCCCGGTGAGTTTGGTTCTTCCAAGACTAAGAGGTGCCTTTGCCTGGGTTCTTGGATTTCAAGAAACCCAGATTTGTTTCGCTGGGGAGGTGGTGCCAAGGGTTCAAAAGGGTGCAGCCCACTTCCTGGCTCACTGTGAAGGAAACCGTTCGCTTGCCGCAGGCTACAGCACACTCCACCGTGGAAATAGCTGACTAATCGTTTTACCGGAGGAAAAAGCGCTCTTCCGCTCGCTTGGTTTGACCACGACAACCAACATATATAAGAGATCAGCTAGACGAGTTTGGCGCTCTGCTTGAAGGCTTGAGTGTCTCAAAGTCTGTGCTACATACTATCCATGCGTTTGATCATGCAACAAACAATACGACGGCAAGGAAGTCGAAGATGTATGCCCGTTGTGGTAATTCTGCGCAGACTTTTGTTCAAACACTAGCAGTTTAGCCCGTAATCACAGCAAAGCTGCAAACTAGTGTGCAAAACGGGATGGTGCGCACCAAAATTCCCGAGATTTGGCTCTACAAAAACCGCTGGTTCCGATCAAAACGATTTGTCAATGCCGGCCAAGAAGCAAGCCCAGCAAGAGGTCCGTGTTGGAACTCCGCTCGTGTGCTTCATCGAGCATGATGACACCTTGCGGCAAGAGTCAGACAGGGTTGTGTCAAAGTGGAAAAAAGAAAAAAAACTTGTTTTGTGTATTTTTGTTAATGTCCATACTGTGGTTGGACGAAATCCTGCATCACCTAAGAACCTCTGGAATGATGATTCTCTGGTAAATGCCAACAGATTCTCTGGTAAATGCCAACAAACCATAGTTTCCGCATGGCTTCAACGTGGTGCGTTGCATGGATTTCGATTTCAACCATCCACAGTCTCCCCAAGCAGTTTGGACCCCCCATCCCTTCCCCACGTCCCGAGTCCCGAAGTCCCGAAGTCCCGAAGTCCCGAAGTCCCGAAGTCCCGAAGTCCCGAAGTCCAAATCCCCCAAGCTCCAAGCCCAGGCGCTGAAGCGCGTGAGCAGCGGGTCCGACAGCATCTCCCGCAGCAAGATGCCCTCCGTGATGAACTCCAGGCGCGTGACCCCGGGGGTGACGCAGCTCTCGAAACCTCGAGAAATCCCATCCGGACGCCGGCGTGGATGGTCCACGGGGAGGGACCCGGTCCACCCTGTTTTTGCGGCAAAACAAGCCAAAAGCTCATATGAAGGCAAAAAATACCGTGATATTCAACAAAACCAGGGTCCCCCCCCTTTTCCACCTTCCGATTCCTCTTTGGTTTTTTGGAGTTCCCAACAAACTCCTCTCACCAAACTTCACCCCATGGCCCCCCAAGCCCCCCAACCCCCAAACCTTGCTGGTGCTCAGTAGGGAATCAGGGGAGGAACCTGGCGATTCCCTTGGATGGTTTTTCTTGGGATCATTCCATTTCTCATTCCCTGCATCTCTCGCACCAGCAAGAACCCCCCAACACCACCCCACCCTCAACCCCCCTCCCCCAAACCCTGCCAGGTCCCAGACTTCCCCACCCAATCCACTCATCAAATGAGGTCACCTCCCCCAAACCTTCAAACCCCCCCAAATCCCCGAAACCCCCTCCCCTCCCCCACCCCTCCCCTCCCCCCCCCAAACCCCCCCCTTCACCCCCAACACCCCCTCCCCCCAAACCAAACCGAGGCGCGGATGCGGTAGCCCACCTCGCGCCCCAGCTCCGCGCCCATCTCCTGCGCCACCCGCGTGGCCACCGCGATGGCCGCCAGCCGCCGCGGCAGCGTCACCGCCACCACGTAGCCTCCAGCGCTCGAGCGCGGCGGAGGGAGGCGAAATGCTACGGAGGCGACGGCGACGCGCTGCGGTCACCCCAAATTTCCGCGGCATCCCACAACCGGAGAACCCCAAAATGGCCGTTGCACCCAAAAATCCGGGGAACCTCACAATGGCTTGGCCGTGGAATGGACCGAAACCTGCGTAAACCCAGCTGAAGAATACTTGGAGCCACTTCCAGACAGGGAGTGAGGCTTAAGACCACCTTGGACCACGCCCCCTGAATGGGGATTCCCTAAGGTTCGCATTTCTGGTGAGATTCATCAACCCCAGTTTGTAAATATGGGAATGAGTTCCCCCCCAAAAGTGGTATGATTCCACACTAAACCCAGGGGCACTCGCCTATTGATAAGCAGGGGTTGATTCATATAGGGTCAACATTAGGAAGGGAATGAGAAGTGGAACAACTCGAAGAAAAATAATCCAACCGATTTGGTTTCCTTGATTCGGGAATCACAACACAGAAAAGTCAACAAATGGCACCAAGGACGACGAAGCTTGGGTGTTTTTTGTTTGAAGAGAACCCCCCCCCCCCCGCCCGTTGTGCAGCGAGATAGTCTAGTCTTGTTTGAATGTAGGTACGTAATTCTTCTAGTTTTATGTAACTCTTGCTTCACACACACACACACACACACACTTGTTCGTGTGCCTGAATGGTTCACACACAGTTTACTCGCCAATGAGCGCCCGTTGTTTTTTTGGGGGGGTTCTGAAAACAAAGGGGCTACCTGTGAAACAGTCCGTCCGAGGTCCCGGCCTTTCGCTGTCCAACCAGCTTCATCAAGGTACTGAGGCAGCTGGGTGGATTTCCCGCAGCCTGCAGCGCGCGCAAGGGTGCCTCTTCTTACGCAACGGTGAGTTGCGATGTGGGTAAAAACCCCATGGAGCATGGGTGTGGGTCAAAAATAGGTACCCAAAATGGAACCTTGGGTGCATACCCACACCCACCAGCCGAACGGTTTCAAGAGAACCCCCCACCAAAACGAAGTCTGAGCACCGCTGAACCCTTTACTTCCAGAAGCTTAGCTCACGAGACGCTTGCGACGCCATCAGCCGGAAGGAGCGCTCCAACCGGGGCTTTGAAACCCCAACGGACTGCTTAACCTATCAAGGCAAGAGCCACCAGGCAACTGAGTCACAATCAAAACGTCGACCCAGAGCCATGTAAAGAATTGTTCGAAGGCGGATATCCGCCGCTACTTATGGTTGGGATTGTCCCTTACTAACCTAACATCTACCCGAATCGATTTTGATTGTGGCTCAACTGGCCAAAAGACTTGCTTCTTTTCCAAAGGGGATCTTTGATGAGGCCTTCAAAAAGAACGCAAGCTCCGAAAAAGAAAAAGAAAGAAGGAGGAAAAAAAAACTCAAGCCTAAGCGCATCTCTCCCGCCTGTGGCACCGCAGAGCACCACACCCCGGTGCGACTCCACCTGAAGGGTCTGAAGGATTTTGCACGTGGCAGGGTTCGGATCAAAGGATGCATGTTGTCCAAATTCAAGAAAAAACAACTGTAGTGGTTGGTTCCTTGAATCATTCTGGTCATTTTGCTTATTTAAAACCTTTGCCAGGTGTTTCAAAGGGCGACAAAACATGCAGGTGACTCCCCCTCGTGCCTTTTTTTTCTTTGTTTTTACGGGCAACTGAGACACCCCCCCCCCCCCCGATCGGCCGCGTGGAGGATGGCCAGGCGGTGCCGGTGGATGGGCAAGCGCCTCCGCTGCTGCTCCACCTGCCGACCACTTCGACTGCCGTGGTGCCGGGGGCTGGGGTTCGAGGGTTTTTGGCGTTCAATTCCTGAAAGTCAGCAACACCTGAGTCATTTTGCGAAAGCCATAGACAGGTTCAGCATGGTCCTGATCTGGTTGGCTACTTGAAAGCTTGGGTTGGGGGGGGAGGGGGATTGCGGGTGGGGTGGTTGAGGGTTTTTTTTTGGGGGGGGAGGGGTTCTTGCTGGTTCTTGGCATGGGGATGAGTTGGAATGACCCCTATAAACTGTCCAACGGGTGGTTTCCTTTATTCGGGAATCCCCAGGTTCATTCCCACATTTCCCACCGGGTCGTTCTTTTTTGCAATCTGACCGGGACCCCAAAATGAATTGTGGGTTTCCTTTGGGGGAATTCCTTAATTCAACCATCAAGCTCGCAGTTGAGAATCAACCCCCAGATTTGTTTCAACCCCATTTTATAAATGAGGGAATTGTCCCTGGATTTCAATTCAGACCACTTTTGGAGGGGGACACCCCTGCCTGTATTGATGAGACGGGTGAATTAATCCAGATCAACATCAATGAAAGCGATCGGTACTGAAATGGTGTACCCACCATGTTCAGAATCAAAAAGGCGGCGAAGGCACACATTTATGGTTGGGGCTTCTCCCTTACAAATCTTCGTCTACCGGATCACCCAAAGAGGGCGACACAAATCTTCAGTGTCAAAGGAGCCAAATAAAGAACCCACTAGCTTTGACTTGGCCCGAAAAAACGTGTTCAAAACCGGAGAGCATCGCGGGGATCCATGGAAAACCGAGTCGTCGTCTTGGATGTCTTGGGTGACTTCATGGGGCTCTGCAAATCGGATCACGTGGAAACCTCGTCGCTTCTTTGAGGTTAAGGACCCAAAATGGTGGGCTTTTTTTGTGGGTGTTCCCCAAAAACAACCGCGGAAAAAGTACCGACTCCGGTGGGTTTTGTGGGCTTTCTCTTTTGAAAACCCACAGGAACGGAAGCCAACTCCGAAAAACCGTCCACCGATGCGGCCCTTTCGGGCGACAAACCAAAGGACGAGCCGGCAGCCGGCTGAGTCTCCCCGTCGGAGACCCCAGGAGCCCTTCGGCACCGGGGCGCCGGCGGGCAATCGATCCGAGGGGTTGAAGACCGGCAGCGCCTTGGGGCTTTGGGAAGCGGGGAAGCGGGGAAGCGGGGGGGGACAAGAAATATGGGTATGTTACGGTATGTTGCTTTGTAGCTTTTGCTTTTTGAAGTGTCCCGAGCCAAACATCAACTCATCAACTCCATGACAGATGAGAATCCCCATTGGGACAGCTAGCTGGCCATGGATTTTAGCAAGGAAGAAAGTGATTCCGCTGGCCCGATGAATTGGCAGTTCAAGAATATTTGAGTTTCTTCCAAGGAATCCCTGAACAGTTCTGCAAGCAACTTTCTGAGAATTGTTTTTGCCCAAAAACAAACACATCGAGCAATGTCTGGCTGCCGAGTCGCCGAGGGATACTTATCTCGTTGTTCGTTGTGCCGCTCCCATGCTCTTCACTCAGACTGTTGCAACTCGCAGCACTCAAGACAGTGCAACCACGGAATGGGTGTGTCTCCTTTTGCGTGTTGTTTGGCAGTTCTAAAGCAAAACCAAAAGGGAGACCACCATTGTGGGAGGCTACCCAAAAAAAAGAAACACCACCAAAATCTCGCCAACCACTTCATTCAAAGGCCTCGTCTCCACCCTCACAAAAAAAGGAAACGGCTGCTTCCTTTTCGGGCCACTTTCACGGACTAGGCTCATGGCCCGATGCTTCTCCGCGTCGCAATCCAAATCCTGGCAGGGTGAGAAAGGCCACTACTGGGGGACCTAGACTTTGCTTTTGGGGAACCCCTCTGGCCACTTCCATGGTTGTTGCAGGGAAGGTAGGTTTTAAGACCACAGCTTTAAATTGAGAGTTCCCAGCAACTTGCTGGTGCGATAGGTGGGGAATGACGTCATTCCAGGTGTTCGGAATGAAACGGTTTTGGGGATTCCCTTATAAAGGAAACCAAATCGGATGGATGGCTTATGTCGGATCATTCCAACTCATTCACTGGGAACCAGCAAGACTATTGGGATGCGGTTGCGCACTAGTTCTTTTGCTCCACATGCTCCACCAATACAAGTCCCCTCGCAGGACAAAAGAACTTGCGTCGCTGCCAGTGCCAACCATGGTGTTTTCCACCGTCCAGAGCAAAGGCACGATCTTGTCTGGGAATCGATGCAGGCGCCTTTGTCATGGGGTGACATGTTTACAGGGAGTACAACCACTGGAGCTCTGGTGCAACAAAACGCCCAGCAAAACCTTGGTCAGCCATGCCTCAGAGGCTGGCTGAACGATCTGACACCAGGCAAGACGCTCGTGCACTTTGGCGGGTCAGTCAACCCGTATTCCCGCCTTCACGAAGCAGGACGGGAAAAGGCAATTTCCCAAACGGGGTCCAATTGCACAAAGCAACAATGACTTGCCGCTGGAAAGATGACCCTGGAGTGCTTGATAAATGGCGCCAGGCGTATGACCCGCTGAAAAGACTCATGAATTTTCGGAAGTGGGTCATGCGTAACCTTGGCTCTCCATTTTGCAATTTGCTTGTTTCTCTCCAGAGATGGGTGTGGGTCAAATTCTAAACCGCCAGACCACCCCAGATGTTAGTGTTTGTCTCCATGCAGCATGGCAGCCCAGTTGTGTACTAAAAACCTCTGTTTTTGTCACCCCACCCAAATCCTCCGATTCCCGGCAAGAAGGAAGGAAGGGAATCGAACCCACTCGACCAAAAAACCCGTCAGGTCTGCCCATGGATCCGCATGCGCTGGAGCGGGCCTATGCAGTGCCCGGATCCCAACGCCAAGCCGGCCGGTTCTCCTCAACTCCTTCAAACAGAAGGCACCTGTCTAGGTGAATTATAATATTGCGCCAGCCTGAAACTTGCGGTGGTTGGAGGGATATTCCCCACAGAAAACAACCATTTGGAGTGAGGTCGTGTGAGGTAATTCACCCAGACCCAAGCAAACCTCTTCCAGGCACTTTCTGTGAGGTCGCTATGTTTTCGTGGGCTGGAGGGTAACAGTTTGCTACATGCACAATCACCGCATGAAACCAGTGGAAACACCTCTGAAGCACTCCGAACTAAACCATCCATCCGGTTTGGTTCCTTTCAGGGGATGCCCTTCCGGGTCATTCCCAACACCCGGAACGGTCATTCCCTACCTATCGCACCAACAAGACTAAGAGCCTGCTCCAATCTCGCAGAGTGTGCAGGCCCCCAAAGCAAGCCAAGCTCCACAATTTCATTCCCAAGCTCTCTTCCCAGGATCTCCAGCAAGCTCCAACCGCCTGCGGTGGCAGTTGCTTCCATTTTCTTGAGCCCCTCGAAATATGTCCATAGTGATAAATTCCCAAAACCCAAGAATGGAAAATTGAACATATTGATTTCAGCAAATGGAAGCTTTCTTTGCCCCTATCAAACAAGCAAATCCAACATGCCAGAGCACCATGAAACATGTGTCCTGCAAACTCGAAGTTCAGCCCTCGCAGACGTCGCCATACGTGTGGAATAGGCACGGATCTGCCAATGCTTTTGCAATCCCCCCCCTACCTTAAGGGGGAATTTGCGTTTTCCCAATAAAAGGGAAGATGGTCGCCATAAATAGAGATCTCCAGGGTCACCGCCCCTCCTCCCCCAATTCTATTCTTGAGGTCGGAACGTCAACTTGCATTTTGTTCGAGGAAACCGAACCAATCTTCTGTGTTTTTTTTGGTGTGTGTGTGTGTTTGCTTCTTCTTTTTATGGCTTGATCCTCTTTGCGGATCGAAGAAACCCTCCCCCGGAGAAAAAAACAATGACCTGGTTTCACGGATCCTCACTGGGGATCTCTTGAGGCGTTGGCGCTCCAGGTCTCCAGAAAGCCATGGCACCTTCATCCTTCAGCTCTCAGGCATTCTGCTCGTCGTGGGTTTCAACTGCGTGACGTTGGCTGGTGGATGGTTACGAAATCCATGCAACGCACCACTTGGAAGGTCGCAGAAATCGAATTCTTTGCTGGGTATTTACAGGGGAATCATCATTCTAGGGTTTCTTAGGTGGTGCAGGAGTTCGTTCATCCACAGTAGGTTGTTTTAATGCGCGTTGACCTTCCCCTTTTTTAAGAGAATCGATGTCAGTACTGGAGAAAACATGTTGTCGCTTTTTTCGCAAACGCAAATGGAAGTATGTGAGCTTCCCCTCCTAGTTGGTGGTTTGGAGCCGAATCGGTGGCTTGGTGCTCGTCTGGGTGGTTTCCACCAATCCAAACAACCAACTAAGGGTTGCTGTTCACGTGTGGCATGCAGCAATTTGTCTATGTTACTTTAGCCCACGAATGAACACTTGACGCAAAGAATCAGAAAAAAAAAAGAAAAGAAAAAAAAAGGTCCTTCTGAGGACCTGGTTGCTTTAAAAACGTGCAGTTGCATACGCAAAGCTGTGGCTGCCAGTCACTGATTTGTTCACCGTCGCCAAACACGAGGGCTACGCAAAACCTTTGAGCCAAACAGACATAGTCTGGAGCGCACGGTGTCTGCTTCAACCCGGAAGCCAAAGCATTGCACCTGCCGTAGCGTGGAAGCCAAGACGAAATACCCGGCAAATACATTTGGCCGTCTTGCAGGTCAACGTGATGGGATACGGCAGATTCACATGTCGACCAATGTTACACTGATTAAAGGACCAGGTACCCACATGCCCAGCTTTTGCAGCCTTTGTTTGATGTGTTTCATAGTCAATTGTTAATGCTAGTGAGTTGAAGATGCATGTTAGAAATCAGTGGGTGAGAGCAAAAGTGCGTGAACGTAAGTTGAGTGAGCGAAAGTAAGCATGAGTGAGAGTGAGAGTGGTTGGGGGTGAGTCAGCATTGAGAACAAGTATGTGTACGTCAGTGAGTGTACGTTGAGTGAGTGAAAAAAACATTTGCATAAGATCGTGAGGGTAAGTTGAGTGAGTGAGAGTAAGAACGTGGAAGTTCGTGAGTGTAAGTTGGGTGAGCGAAAGTAAGCATGTGCGGCACACAAACCAACCAAGGCGTGTACAAGTCAGGCGCCGAGCATGCGTAAGTTGAATGAGTGAGACTAAGTATGCGAAAGCTGATGAGTGTAAGTTGAGCGGGAAAAGGCAAGTATGCATATGTCAGTAAGCTGCAAGTTGAGTAAGAGAACAGCTCGGAAACCCGAGGGAAACTAGGTCACCATGCACCGAATTCAAATGCCCAAGACCAACCTCACAGCAGAATCAGATTCTCCAATGCCCCTGCAACCTCGAACGGACGCTTGGGTCTCCCCCTTTTTTTACAGGGACTTTTTAGCGGGTGTGGTTTTTGAAGTAACAAAAGGAAAGCTCACGCCCCCTTTTTCTCCAGCTTTGAAGCGCGGTTGCGGATGCCCAACCACCCTCAGAGGCCTGGGTGCCAAAACGGGAAGGACAAAGCTCTGCGTTTTAGTTACTGGGGCGGGGGAGGTCTGGAAATCGCCTAAGGTTGACCCCGCAAACATAAGCCAAAAGCGGTCGGGTTCCCGACTAAACCCCCCCCTAGCCACAAAATGGGGTTCATGAATCTGGGGTTGACATTCTTTTGGCCAGCCTTTTGGGAGAAGGCGCTTCTCGGCTTGCGCCATGTCCATGTCTGCCAGACCAAACAGGCGAACCTCGGGTGAAGTCTCCGTGCCTTCGACCCACTAGGGTTCCAGGGTAATGTGAGTCATCAAAACCGATCCGCAAAGAATGGTCTACCCATAACCATGTAAAGAAGTCAACAAGCGGCTGACCCAGCCATCCACAAAACGTAGCACCTCATGCTTCATCCCAAAGGGTTGATCCATCCCACCCGGTACGTTGACCATCGAACCCGTCACATCGAGCCTCTCGTGGCACGCAACCCCGTTTTAAAGGGAGACCCCTGCCCCCAGCCCCTTTCAAATCTCGGAAAGAAAACAAAACGTGCCCCCCCCCCAAAAAAAAAAAACAAAAACACTTTAGTAGGCCCGAGGATCATGGGCGATTTCGGGGAGGCATTGAGCTGGCAACATATTGGCCACAAGACAGGATCTGCCATAAACTTTCAGCCCTCAAAAACCGTGGATCAACATTCAGCCATAAGGGATTAGACCGCAGGTCTCAGCCCATGTTTCCGGAAAAACCAGGGCAAGCCATTGTGGGGTTACCCTATTTTTGACAACCACACCCATGTCACAATTTATCAGAGCATATGCCAAACCGGCGCGCAAGGCGTTTCGCCCCCAAACAAACTGGCGCCCATCTTTATTTGTAGGTAGATTCCTCCCACCCCAAACCACCCCCCGTTGGAGCAATCAAAAAGCCGCTCCCTTTAAGGATGGCTCCTGGTGCCTCTCAACACGTTGCAGTACCCAAAAAGGAGCTACACGTACCCTCAAGCGCAGGCGCGCCAGCTCAATATCGCACTTCCTACATCCAACTTCCCTAACTCTTCCAGCCCCCACCCCCCAAGAAATAAAAATAAAAGCACTCGGCTCTTATCCATTTTCCTCCAACCGTTGGGCGCCCTTTCCGTCGACCCCCTTTGCTCGGCCAAACGCGGGCACGCTCGAGAAAGGGCCGACGGAAGGTGATACCCGGCTGATGCTCGTCACTTGCGCCCCCAAATGGGTTTGGATGGGCTGGGCTCGGTAAACCGGGGTGGTTAACTCCAGAGGCTGCATAGGTGGATCAAGAAGTGGCGCACAGCAGAACAAACTGGAACGATGGTGCATTCGGTGGAGTTGGGGGTATTCAAGGCAAAACTAAACCATGTTAGGGGACCGAATCCAATGTTGAGAAGCCAAACGATCTCACATCTCTGGGTGATCCCAGGTATGCTATATGGAGTATGAAATCCAGGGGATTCTGGGGGTGAAAAGAGAAACTGGTGGAAGAAGAAACGACCAGACTCTTGTCCCCCTTCCAAGAAGCCCCTGCGTCCTGCGCAAAAGGTTGTCTAGTGCACTTCCATGTTGTACCCCAAAGATGTGGTGACCCCAAAGATGTGGAGACAACAAGCGCTTTTTTTGTCACAAAGAAGGCTGACAACCATTGGACGACCGCTCGCCGGCCCCTGCGCCACTGAAATGAAGGACCGGGATCGCACACCATTCTGACCCTCCGCGTGTTTGGAATCCAATCGAGGATCAACGCCGTCGAACCACGACATGCCTCCACCCCGGCCAAAAAAACAAAAAACAAAACACCGCCGCTCCCAACAGAAACGGCAAAAGCCTTTCTCTCGCGGCGGATGGGAGGCTCTCCATCCATCCGCTTGGTTCTGAAGTGTCCAGCTTGCCACCCGAAGCTAGTTGAACCCTGAGGGCAGGTGCTGACACGGAAACCCTCCGGCCAGTGAAACGAACTTCGACACGACATGTTGTTTAAGAACAAAAGCACGCGTTGCCAGTTGTGCCCCTTCAAAACTCCCAAACATATGAACATCTTGTATACATGCTAGTATGTCAATACCTGACCATGGTTGGTACACATGAATCCCCACCCAAAGCGATGCCTGCCAAAAGCTTTTTTTAAGGGGACGCCAAAAACTGCTTTGCAACCGGCCGAAGTGTACCCCCTTCCTCCCCCTGCTCCCCCCCCCCCCCGCCCAAAATACAAAGACACACAAAAAAGAAAACTACTTTTTTTACAAGAACCTGCTCAGGATCTACTTGTTTGCTGTTTTAGTGGCAAAGGCTGAACAAGCATCTGCAAATTCTACTAAAAGAAAACAAGTTACTCCTCCCCCCCCCAAAAAAAAAAAAAGAAGATTGAAACAAATGTAATCTGTATTTATTTCTTTATGTATTTAGTTAGTTAGCAAAAATAAACCTGCACAAAAAAACTGACCTTTGATCCGAGTCTCCTCCTTCGCGAGCAGATTCTCGCTGCCTCAGAGCTCACCCCGCTGACTCAGAGCTCACCACTTGGAAGCGGTAGCTTTATGGCTGTGTCTGTGTGTGTGGGTTTTGTAGGTGACCCCAAACAAAATGGCGGAACTCCTCTTGGTGTCCCTTTACGTGTCTTCTTTTTAGGTGCTTCCCCCCCAAAAAAAAAGAGGCGTTCCTCTTGGTTTGCCTTTGAAGCACCATAAGAACCGCCCTCAAAAAGGGACACACCCTTATCCCAGTGTCAACGGAGTCAGCAGCTTTCGGTTTGGGGGCTGGGGAACACCCGAACCTCTCTCGCTTTCTCGCAAACCCCCCTCCCCTCCCACCCAAACAAAATACCACACGCCGCCAAGCTCGCGCACAAGCGCGCAAGCGCGCACACGCACACCTTTTCCGCCAGGCGGTCCAGGAAGGGGCAGGGGTCCTCCAGCACCAAACTCCTTCGCCAGGCGAACTCCAAGCGCTGCGCGTGGAGGAACATCCTGAACGCGAAACAGAGGAATCGAAGACGGCGGCATTGCCCGAAGGAATCTGTGACGGAACTGTGCGGTGAACGGAAAACCCGTTCTAAGCCAACGAAAATCGGAAAAGCTGAAGGAACCGGATCACTCCCTCACATACCAAGTGGAAAATCAACCCTTCCCCACCCCCCACCCCCTAACCGCTTTTTCCCCCCCACCCCAAAAAAAAGCAAGAATAAAACAGCGCACCTGGTTTTTGTTGCTCGGTGCCCCCCAAACCACAGCTCGAGTGCGTTAGAAACCAAAACCGAGCGGCCGGTGGCAGCCCCCCCGGAGGCCCCAGGGCTGGCCCCCGTAGGCGTCGTCGCCCAGGATGGGGAAGCCGCACTGGGCCAGGTGCACGCGGATCTGGTGCCTACCGATTCATTCGTTGCGGAACCAATTCCTGATGAATTGTGTTTTTTTGGTGGGTTAGGCTGGGTTTAGGCTGGGTTCAGGCTGGGATTATATTATCGGCCCCAAAAAATGGCCAATGGATTCCAGGATTCCTTGTAAAAAGATTTGGGTGGGTTTGTAGGGGCTTGACCGATTCCTGGCTGTTTTTGTTTCCCCTTTCCGGTGGGGGGTTAGGCTGGGTTTGTACGGGCCCCAAGAAAAACTTTGGTTTTCTTGGCCTCCCTTCAAAACACTCAAAGAACAGGTACGCCAAAAACAAACTCTAGCCACACTTCCGCTTGCTTGGGATGAACAACTGAGCTGGCCCTTTCAAACCCCAAAAAAAACGATCGCCTTCCCCTGCTTTGTATGGCTTTGGCTTGTGGCTCGGTGGAGCAAAGGGCCAGCAGGGGCCCTTCTTGGCTTCAACCGGGTGAAGTGAAAAAACAAAAACGCTTAAGAGGGGTCAAGAACCAAAGTGGATGTGCCCGGACACGTGCTTTGGTTTTTCCAAAATGGTCCTCAAAACCTACGGTTCCCTCGGCATTGGAAGGGCGAATGGCAGAAAGCCGTGCCATAGCAATCAACAGGGTACCTGCATTGGATCCTTGAGGGCCCTCTATGCAGAGTTCTTTGCGGGCTTGGGAGATCGACTCACCGCGAACGTGTATTTTTCCCCGGCAGAACAGCTTCTCCTTTTGCAAGTCTGCGGTGCCTTTGACATGGAGATCCACGCTCGAACTGGGACTCTCTGGGTGCACAGATTGCGTGACTGAAACACTCGGGCCGGAAGAAAAACGTCCACACACACACTACTATATAAACCCAAGGCGCCACTCTTACCACACGGCCCAGTCCCTCCTTTTCATTCTCTTCTCTGCTTCTTCTTTTTTCTTGGGGGGGGAGCGTGGGGTTCCCGAAAAGATCAACCTGGGTATGGGTCAAAATTAAACCGCCGCAAAACCACAGGTTCTTTTTTTGTTTCCATTTACCAGGGTTCCAGATTGGACACCTACTGTGGATGGACGAAACCCTGCACAACCCAACAAGCCCTAACATGATGATTCCCCTGTAAATACCAACACACAACGGTTTCCTACTGTGGGTGGACGAAATCCTGCACCGCTTAAATCAACAAGTTAAACAAGGGTGCAGAAGGACCCCCCGCTCCCCATATTCAATGTTGCTTTGATGGGCTGTAAAGGTGGTGCAGGTCCATTCTTCTGCGTGTTTTCAGCTCCCAATATTAAAAAGGGAGCGCGAGGGTGTGCAACCCAATGCTGAGATGGTGGTGCAGGATTCTGTCCACCCACCGTATGGTTTCAAAGTGGTGCGAAGCGGATTTCGTCCATCCACAGTATTTGACCCACACACCCAAAAGAGGCGCGCGCCCTCCCCCCCCCGCGCCTGCGCCCCGTCCTGGGCCGCACCTCCAGCAGGGACACCGGCAGCGGCGGCCTCCGCCTGTGTGGCTCCTGGAAGAACGGGCTTCCGTGCCCAAAACTTCGGTGGCTTCCAATGGAATTCACCTGGAGAAAAGAAAAAACGCCAAACCTATCTTCGAGCACCGTTTTGTTTTTTGGAGTTGGCCCCCCATGCCTTTGTAACTTGTTTGTGACTGGAAACCACCCCTCGCAGGCAAATCGATTTAAGTGTGTGTGTGTGTGTCCTCCCCAACCATTCTCGAGGGTGTTCCAATTCTGAAGTATGTGGCAGCCCTGTGAGAGTCGCTCAAAACATGGGAAAGGTCCAAAACCGGCATCCTCGTTGTGAACAACCATCAATGAGTCTATGTACGCAAATATACACATATGTGTATAAATATATATCTATATATATGTTCCAGGCCGTGGACCCCCCCCCCCTCCCCCCCAACCCCCCCCCCCTTGTGGGGGCGGGGTGGGTGGTGGGGTGGTGGGGTAGTTGGGTGGTTGGGGTGTGGTTCGGAGTTAGTTTAGGCTTGGTGGGTTGGTTTAGGGTTGGTTCAGGGTTGGTTCAGGGTTGGTTTGCGGTGGGTTTCGGGTGGGTTTGGGGTTTGGGTTGATTTAGGCTTAGGGTTGGGGT